TTTATGGATGGATGGACTTATGGGATTCTTTATTCCACTATTTTTGCGATACCATTTCCCAAAACCATTATATTTTAATTGCCTATTCATTTATGTTTACTAGATTATAATGAGCCTGAGAGCAGGTAGATACTGCATTTGCATTTCTAATAAGTTTACAGATGATGTTGATGATAATGGTTTGGGAACCACTGGCCTAGAGCAAGCAACATCTAAACTGAGCCATGAAAGAATAGGTAGGAATTAGCTAAATTAGGTGTTGGTATTGTTGTGGAGGGAGGAGCAGTGAGGAAAGCTGAGGGCAAAGGTTCAGACAGAGGACACCTGCATATAGTCCACAGGGACCTGCAGGTCTGTAGGAAAGGGAGAGTGATGAGATGAGGCTGCCAGGGCAAGGGAGAACCAATATTCAAAGCCATTTAAAGGCCTTTTACCATACTAAGGAGCTAGGATTTGGGGGGAGAGCCACTGAAGGAATATAAACAGGGAGCAACATGATCAGAAGTGATCAAGTGGCTTCAATGTAGGGTGTGGATTGAAGGTGGGCAAGACCAATAAGTAGGCTAATTAGGAAGCTACTGTAAGAACAGGTTGATGACCAAGAGCTATATAGTGGCAGTGAAGATGGAGAAAAAGAAAGATTTGAAAGATATTGAAGATGCAGAAATTAAATTCCTGAACCCTCATTTCATGTCTGGAATGTAGGTGAGGGAGAAAAATTAAAGTTTATTCCTAGGTTCTTGCTTTGATCAGTTAAGTGGTACTAGTCACTGAGAGAGGTAACACAGGAGCAAAGAAGGCTGGAGGAGCAAGGAATGGAGAGAGGGATGATTTATATTGGGGACCTGCTGATGTCCAGTAGGTCACTGAGTAGAGAGATTTTGAACTCAGGAGAGAGATCTAAACTAAGACCCAGATTTGGGACTTGCCAGTCCATAGATCACTGAAACAAGGGAGTAGATGGAATTCCCTGGATACAATATGTGGAGCAAGAAATAGATCTAGATGGCTACACTTAGGAGATCCTTGAGAAACACTACCACTTAAGGGGAAACCTGGGGAAGAGGAATCTGCATTAGAGACTACAAAGTTGCTGACAGAGGAACAGGAAGAAAATCAAGAGGACATGACAGAATGGAAGCCAAGTGCATTAGCCATGCTGAAAGGTGGAGATCAAGTAAAACTAGGCATAACAGTATCAATTAGATATTTGAAGAAAGTAATTGATAACCTAAGTACAAATCCTGACAGTGGAGTTTCACGAGTTCAAACCAGAAATGCATGGGAGGTGAAAAGTAGAGGTAGGTAATATAGTGACAGCCAATTCATGGGTTGCCCTTTTCATTGTTTCAACATGATTGCTATGAATTTATCTACTATTAATAATGAAAAAATATATTCTTTAAATATGCCTTTTTATATTAAATTCTGGATATTTCTTACAATCTTCTTGTATATATTACTGCTTTCCTTCAGAAATAATGAGACCTTCTGAACAGATGGGTAGCCTGAAGATATTTCTATGAAAAAAATAGTAGAAAAAGAAATCTAAGAAGTTTAATGATTGTATTTTTTCCTACAGCTGTATTTCATATAAATGCACATCTAATGATTTCCCTTTTAGAAGTTGGTTTCTAGGGAATGAACCATATAAACTAACAAGAGCTTGTCTTTTAAAGATATGGCAGAATTTTCTCATTTTATTTTAAGGCAATGCTACAAAAATGCATCTTATTCCATTATACCAAAACCAATATCCTGAAATGCTTAGATTGAAGTACAGAGTTGTGTTAGTGTGTTTCCCAGGATTCAAAAAACAGTTAAAATCAATAACAGGAGACTCGTGAGGGCTTTTGCTTTGGTTTTTCCTCTCTGGAAATGAGATTATGGGATCTGTGACAATCTTGAATTCTCAAACTATATAATAAATACCCAGAGGGTCACCTGGAGAACATGAAAATTTCTGATAATTTAGAATTGGGATTTATTGATCCAAACTAGGATCATACAGATTTCCTCTGCAAAATGCAACTTATATTTCCTGCTCTGTACTTTGTTATGTGATTTCCTTCAGCCAGACTATCTCCTTATATCTTCTTCACTTTCCTCCATTTCTCTTGGTATCCATCAAAGTCCAGATTAAATACCACCTATTCTATTATGTTACTAGACTTACTAGGTACATACAACATAGAATATATGCTGTTTTATATGGAAGTTATTTGCACACTTATTTCTAGTTAAATCATAAGCTTCTAGAGCTATATCTTATTCCCCCATGTTGCCTAGCATGATACCCAGCATATGATTGTCACTATATAAATATTCATTTATTATACTTATATGCCAGGTATTAAAATTGTGTCTAGAATTAAAAGAATTCTCTTTTTTCCTGCCTAGCCAAAAAATAGAAGACCATAAAAAGGGGCAAAATTTCCTCTTTTGAGTTCCTAGTCATTCAAAATTTAGAATTCATCCAGGTGTAAGCAGAAACAATTATGTGTACCTAGTGGCTGCAAGTTTCTCCTGCAGAAAATAAGATTGGGACAAGCAAAAACATTCATTTGTTTTAAAATTTCTCTTATTTCTAAGGGTTCTCTGAGTATTTTTATCTGCTAATTACGATAGAAGGCTTCTTATAGGATTAGTCATTGGTCAATAAGTTGATAAGCTTGTTTAAAGCAGAAAGGCATTAAAGAAGTGTGTTAGAGGCTATAATTTAAAACATACATATAATCATTTACCAATATTTTTTAAAGGTTTATTTATTTTAGAGGGAGGGAGAGAAAGAGAGAGATAGCATGAGGTGGGGAGGGGCAGAAGGAGAGGGAGATAAATCCTCAAGCAGACTCTGTGATGAGGCTCCATGGAGCCCCATGGACCCTGAGATCATAACATAAGCCAAAATCAGGAGTCAACGCTTAACCAACTGAGCCAACCAGGTGCCCCTCATTTACCAATATTTTTGAGAAAAGGCCCGTTCTTTGACTATGTATCTGGTATTGGAGTGTACTCTTCTTTTTCTAACATAAATTACTGTAATGCATTATCTACTGTTCACAATGTTGGTTCTTAAATAAGAGTGTAATTCTAAAGATGCTTGAAGTAACCTGAGTATAGACTCTTTCTAGATTTTTATGTTTATTGACCACCCCAGGCTTATTTAATGACTCACCTACATGGAGTCTTTCCAAAGCATTCAAGATAGATTTTATACAAGTAAGTCTCCTTTTGTTTCACAGTCATGTGTAATTATTTTATTTATAATTTAGTTAAATTGTGTAAGATGATAACAATGGGCACAATTTGGGGACAAATACAACTGATTCTTAACAAGTAGCAATTCAGCTGGTTGGAGCAGAGGTGTTTGAGGCATACGAGACAGAGGTGCAAGTTAGCTGCTAGTGCTGGCATCTAGCATGACATGGGCAGTACTACTGTGTTTTACATAGAATGGAGAATAACCATTACTCTGGTGAACTACTTAAATGGAGAGCAAAGAGATCTTCTACTATACTCCTATATTATACTAATATCTTTCTGACATTGTTCCACAGAAAAGTTTAGGGGTACGTATTTTATTCAGAATTAAATATCTTCATCCTGTGTGTTAGCTGAAGGACAATGGAGTTAAAGGTAAGGGGAGGGGCGCCTGGGTGGCTCAGTCGTTAAGTGTCTGCCTTCGGCTCAGGTCATGGTCCCAGGGTCCTGGGATCGAGTCCCGCATCGGGCTCCCTGCTCAGCCGGGAGCCTGCTTCTCCCTCTCCCACTCCCCTTGCTAGTGTCCCTCTCTCGCTGTGTCTCTCTCTGTCAAATAAATAAATAAAATCTTTAAAAAAACAAAAAACAAAACTCAGGTTTAAAAAAAAAGGTATAGGGGAAAGAAGGATAAATAAAATTTGCTAAGAAATAACTTTCTTTGCTCGATGTGTTGATTCAGGAAGAGCTACCAAAGGCCTATAGAGAGAGAAAAAATAGTATAATACCATCTAGGCTATTTCAAGTGTATATGTTTCAGTTCTGGATTTATAATGATTTTTATGAAGAATTCATAGGAATACTTCATAAAAAATTTTTGAAAGAATGAGACGGAGGAGGGAATAGAAAAGTTGGGAAAATAAATTTATTTTTGCCTTTTGGAAATTGATTATGGATAGTATCATGAGCCACTCACTTTTGTGACATAAAATATCAGAATGAGAGTGGGGAGTTAAATCAGCTAAGAATATTCTGGAGATAAAATTATAGAAAAGGGTAGGAGGAAGGACCTCTGTAGTAAGGTTGGATTTTGTCTTCACACAATAACTAAGATGGAACAGTTCTTAGATATCACTTAATCTGGCTATTCATTCGAATTACACACACAGAAAAAAAAATTTTTAAATCAATTTCTTATAGGTCATCCCAATCCTCTTTCTTAATATGGAGATCTTAATTCAGTTACTCTAGTATTTAAATATCTCTCTCATTGTTTTCATATTTATTTCATTATTATTTTTGGTAATGTGATAATTACAAAGGGAGGACATTTAGAATAATTTTCAGAAAATACCTTTCATATCATTTTACTATAAAAAATAACTGGTTCAAGGAAGTTTTTGACTTAGTATAATATTGTGAAATCCAACTACTCATTTTCAGGACTATTTTTGATCCCTCAGAAACCCTGTTTGAGCCAGGTTGCCTGTGGATCTTTTTTTTTTTTTTAAGATCTTAAGCACATTCCTTAAAATATTAAGACACACTCAAAAGAATTCCATCCTATACAAATCTATTGACTCACTGGCTAGATGTAGGATATTTGTTTTGCTATTGGAAGATAAAAACTAGAATGAAATTAAGTGAAAATATAAGCAATACTGTTTCTGGGTTTTTTCCATGTTAAAATTCTGCTTAAGTAGGTTTTTGGTGGGTTTGAATTTCACCTAGAAAAGTAAAATATTATGGAGTTTTTCTGAGTGTTAAGTTTGCCTTCACATTTTGATGTTTTGCTTTTCCAGGGTTTTGAAGGTGTTTCTTTCACGAACAGCCCAGCGGATTCCATATATGACTGGTGGACGGGTCATGAGGATGCTTACAGTAATACTTCTGGTAGTATTCTGGTTTCTTGTTGGCTGGACTTCATCTGTTTGCCAGAATTTGGAGAGGCAGATTTCACTTATTGGCCAAGGGCAAACATCTGATCACCTCATCTTCAATATGTGCCTCATTGAGCGCTGGGATTACATGACAGCATTCGGTATGTGGTCACTTGGTTTGTGCGGATGGCTTGTCCTTTCTCCAGTGGCATTAAAACAGACTTCTTTAGAAGCCTTACCACACCCTTTCACAAAACTGAAAGGGATTTCACCTAATGTGGTTTGGGTAAAACAATGTTATGAAAAGGACAGTAATGACATGTGGAATGCAGACTTTTTCTGAGTTTCCATTCTTTTTCAAAGGTATGTAGCTTTGTAGCTTTGTTGAGAAAATGTAATCAAGTAAATCAGGAAGGAGAAATGCAGCAAATAAGAGCAACTTCTTCATACAAAAGGACTTTCTGTTTTGCATCTTATCAGTGTGTTCCCATTTGATTAACAATAGCTATTCTCTTGATTTATTTCTTTAGTTGGGAGAAAAAAAGGAAACATCCTGGTATTTTTTATATAGTTTTGGTCCTGTGATATTTCAGACTTGGGATCCAGGGCACTCTTGGTGTAGAGATTTTCCCTGCAAACTTTTTAACTAATCTGTCATTCTTCTAAAGATAATTTATTAGGAATTCTCTGGAGGTCCAGTATTACACAAAAATGAAGCTATGCTCCTTGGGATTAGTTAGAGAGAGTTCTGTAACTGAGAAACTGGAAAACTTGGGGGGATCACATGACAACTTAGGCCAGAAGCACAGGTTTTTCTAATACCCTGGTTTTGTGAAAAATGAGGAAGAGAAATCAATAGGAATTTTTCTGTTGTTAACATTAGGCTATTTTAAGCCAGGCCTCTAAGATACAAAAAATAATGAAAACAAATTTTTATTATTTTGTTGTCATTCCCTTCAGTTAACCACAGAACAAATCTTATTTTTTACTTGGCAGATGTCAAAAATAAACACGTGAGTCTAATTCCTATTTTCTGTCTCCCCCATATTTGGCAGTTGTTGGTTGAATATTCACATTTAGTATTTTGCTAGAAGTTAATAAAAGGTGTATTTAGTGTATAATTCAAATGTAATATTTTTCTGGGCGAGATATTTTAGGAATTTTATTGGCCTGATATCTGTAATAATAAAGCAAAGTGGGTATGTAAAAGGAATGATTATAATGATTATATGTAAAGCCAACCGTCATTATTTTGATCAATATCAAAGAAGATATCAAAAATATCAGTAGATATAAATATCAGAAGATTAAACATAGAACTAATCTGATTCTGACTTTAGTGTAGATATGAAAAGTAAATAAATTGTATAGATACAAAATTTCTACTCAGTAGAAACCTCTAACATTATTTTACATTGTTCAATCCAAATTAACCAAACTAGGAAAAATCACTTTCCCATATTACTGTGAAGAAAAGCCCACTATATTTATTTTCTGTTTTATAATACTCAAAATATATGATGAAGCATCACAGGGTAAGGAATAAACAAGCAGAAAGCATGGCCTATTTACCTAGCATTTTTTTTTATTTTGTACACCTTGGTTTTGAGATATATTTAAGGCCTTTTAAAAATTTCTTTTACACTCTGAAGGAAACCACATTCATGATCCTGATCTCTATGTAGAAATAAATAGGAATGTATAGCTGACAGTAACCTGCAATTTATTTTATATAAACTTTCTTTATATATAAGTAAAAGTTTCATATAATAAACAAGACCCACTGAGTATCATTTCTCTAGTACTGTGTTGAACACTTTGCAGGAGACATAAAATGTATAAAATTTTTGTTCCTCTCATCAAGGAGCTTACTACTGGTTTATATAAATGGGAATTGTTAAAAATTATTAAAAAACAAAATTATGTAGTAAAGACTCTTGGTACAATAGTAGTTCAATAAAGGAAGACAACACTTTGGACCAGAATCCAGGAATCCTTAAAGAGAAGTTCTCTGAGCCATGGGTAACACTTAGATTATTGTAGAGTGGTACAGAGAACATTCTCTTTAATAGGAATAGTGGTGGAAGTGGATGGAAATTATATGAAATGTGAAGGAAATGCCCAACTTTAAAAGAAGATTATGTTGGACTACATTGTGATTAATTCTGGATAGTTAAGTTTATTGAATCTTGAAAACCTGTTATAGGAATTTGGAGAACTAGGAATGTGATGTGATGAATCAGTAAGGTCAATCTAGTAGGATCAATCTAGATTGCCTTTAGAAGGTGTGTGTGTGTGTGTGTGTGTGTGGTGTGTGTGTGTGTATCTTTACGGTATATATGTATATATATGTATGGTATATATATGTATATCTGTAGTATATATGTGTATGTGTGTATCTCTATCTATCTCTCTATATGCACTAAATTCATAGGTTTGGGAAGAAGAATCATTAGAATGGAGAAAGAGCAGTGGTTCTCAAAAGTGTGGTCTCGGAACCAGCGACAACAGCAACACCTGGGAACCTGTGAGAAATGCACATTCTTGGGCCTATCTACAGACTTCCTTGGTCAGACACTGGGATAGTGGGGCCCAGCAGTCTGTGTTTAACAAGGCTTCTAGGTAATTCTGATGCTATTCTAAAGTGTAGAACTACTGACTCAGAGGAAGTAAATCAGACGAACTTACTAGAACATACATCACTTAACTGTGCTCTGGGCACTCCATAATACTCTGTTTCCCTGATCAATCACTAGAACATTCTTCAAAATGATTATTTCAAGTCTTGTAGCATATCCCCCCTTGACACCTCCCAACTATCCATGTTCCTCTTTTCTCTTAAAAAAGCAAGGTAGCAGTCAGACATCAGTTGTCTTCCAATTCTTGTCTACATATCTACAAATCTTCCTATATTCCTACCCATTCTTATTCACCCCCCCCATTACCTAAACTCATCCAACTTTAAACCCCTTATGTCCAGACCTGTCTCACTTTATATGACTGTCTTATCATCTGAAATGCCCCTACCTCCCAAATCTCTCATTGAAGAATTCTATTCTGACCACAACTTTCTCTCTTAGGTTATTTGTTTAAGTACCCCATCTGCAATAGCTCTTTAGATTCATGGGCTATTTTTAATTATACTTTACTGCCACTACATTCTGCTTTCCTCCAGAGAGACAGCTTACCAGGTAGCAGGTTTTTCCACTAGCAAAGATGAAACTATGAGAAAAGTAGGCATTTTTAATACAGTAATTCTGGATCATACCAGAAAAGGGGTGCACAGAGAGCAAGGAGGACCCTGAGCTCACCTTCCTGAGGAGCCTCAGGTAGGTAGTACAAGAGAGAATAGCTTGTGGTCCATAACTTGAGAGGGCTACAGGGAATGCAGTTCCTTGGACAATAAGCAGGTCTCAGTTAATGTAAGAAGAGAGAGAAGCTAAAAGGAGAGCTTGATGATTATGATGGGAAGATCTAGGTCATGGCTTTAGGAGTGAGATAAAATTAGCAAAACTTGAGAGGCAGGCATTAAACTAATACTCCCACAGGTGTTAAATGATAACATTAGGGTCTCAGAAAATAAAAGACTAGTGATAAGTTGCAAAGACAAAGAGGTGAGAGGAAGTGAAATGGTGGTGGTGGTGGTTTTGTTATCTCCAGGCACTGTTTCCATCCTATAAACTCCTGGAACACCTTCGTTTCAATAATACCCTTTTTCCTGCAGTGACACCTTTCTCTGAAGAAAAGTTGAGACACATGGTTTAAAAACAGGAACAAATATTTGAAATTAGGACTGTCTTAAAAAATCAGAGACATGTGGTTGCTGTGATTTTTTTTCACACTACCCTACAGCAATTCCATTTATTTATCTTTCGTGTATCTTTCATTTTTCTTTCTAGTGCATGTAGCACTAGATATTCTGTATTTAACCTCTCTTAATTTAATGTTTTCTAATGTGTGGTAGATGCTTCTTTTCAGTTCCCTTTATATATTTCTGTAAGTAGCATGTTTGCCCTCAGATTTTTTTATACTCAGACTGTTATTCAAGAATAAATTCTTGTATCTTCAGTCAGCCAAGAATAAACCTATACCAAAAGCTAAATTATTCCATTTCCTAAATGGAAATGCTTCTACAGAGGGGACAGGCTGCAGAGAAGCAATAGATAGGTTTTACCTTGAGGTGCAAAACTTTGTCAGGAAGCTCTGTACACTTACATTAGTGTCAGGAGTCAATTTAGAAAAGAAGAGAAAGTGATGGTTAATATATTTATAAACATGCATTCTGGATTAGCTTTACCTGTCGAAAAGGATCTATTTTTTAAAAATACAAATTGAAGAACCATTTGAAAGAGTGCAATACTAGTCTTCCCACTGAAGTAGAACTCTATTTAGAAATATGGGTCATAAATGTAAAAGATGGGTCTGTTCTGTTTTGCTTACTGCACAGGGCACCTCCAAAACTGCTCAGACAGCTGATTTGCCTGCCACAAGTGTTTCAGACAGGAAACAGGTTTAGAAACTGCTTGGAAAAATCTCCGAACTTCTATGAGACTCAGTTTCTTCTTTGAAGAAATATGTGAAAACAGAAAGGGGGAAAAAATGACTTTCAGAATCCCATTGTTATTTATATATATTTATAATTTTCAACTATCATGTTTGTCCTATATAAAAAATTGTGAGGTCAGCTTTAATGGAAAACGGATAAAGATGTAAACATTGCGACCTTAAAAGACAGGTGAACATGGGGCAATGTTTTACAGGCCCAATAGTCTGGGACTTTTTTAATGATTTTTTTTTAAATCTGGTGGAAAATGAACTTCAAAATGTGAATGTTCCAGAGTATTTCTAGACTAGAGTTCCTATAAAGACTTAAGCTGCCATACCTCTTTGAAAATCATCTATAACTATAATAACTATAATAGTATAGTACTATAATACTGTAGTACTTATACTGTTCATCATCACGTGGCTCAGCACTTTGAATTTTTCTGAGTATGTTTAAAGTACATTATCTGCCGTTCATATTCTTATATCTGCTCACCCCTCCTTTCTCTCCCAATCTGGTAGCTCTAACACTTCTCAACAACATTACCTAGATTGTTCTCAGTATATCCCTGACAACTAACAAAGTATCTGTCAGCTCTTGATAAATATTTGCTGA